GTTTTTAAATTGAACTTTCTTGTCGAGATCATTCTAGGTTGACATGCGATTGTAACAGAAATAAGAGAAATCCCATGTGCCCTTTACCCATATTTTTTGTATAGAATTAGTTTGCAATACTAAGCTATAATGTCATGAACACAATATAATGAAGATGCAGTGAATCAATTTTGTTTCTTTAGACTTGCTTGTACTCAACAGTGTGTGCTATTTGTATATATCTTGAATCTCTAGACACCACTACAGACAAAATGTAGTTCTGTTGCCACAAGAACCTCTCATGTGATCTCTTTATAGCTATGCCTGCCTCACCCACCACCACCACCTCCTCTTCTTCAGCACCTGTCAATTCCCAGGGCTTTTCCCTTTATTTCATTCCCTTCTTTGTCAATTTGTACTGCTGGTATCACTTTGCAAGGCCGCATCTTATTGTCAGCTTTCATTTAGTATCCACTGGACTATAAGCTCTGTGTCGATCTCTTAATTTTCCATTTCTGTCACATCACTTGCATCAAAGCAAATATTCAAAAAGTAAAGCTGATGGATTCTGAGGGAAAGCAGAAGAATCAAACTAAGGTAGTGGAAGGCTCGGGTGGGAGATACAGACAATGGGGTGGCCCCTGACTTGTGGACTTACACTACCCCTTGTGTTCAGTGAGGCAGGACAGAGCTGGGTGGAGCCTGAGTTCATGAATTCCATGGCTCAGGATAATAAGGTCTTAGACCCTATAAACCTGGTGGGTTGAACTATCCACAGCTTGTCCGAGTAAAAGAGCCAAACTCGCAGACTGGACTCTCTCTGAGATCGTGTTTGGAATGTGACCAAGGTGGAAGAATCCTTCCTGAAGAAAAAGTCAATGTGCTAACATTCACTAAGCAACCAGAAGGGGATTTGTTAGGGATTCTCACCGCTTGTTTTATGCATAGTCCTGGCTCTTGTTGCCTGTGTTTCTGGATAGACATAACTGCATTGCAGGGGCTGGAGAGATAGCACAGCGGGTAGGGCGTTTGCCTTGCATGCGGCCAACCCGGGTTCGATTCGCAGCATCCCATATGGTTCCCAGAGCACTGCCAGGAGTAACTCCTGAGTGCAGAGCCAGGAGTAACCCCTGTGCATTGCCAGGTGTATCCCAAAAAGCAAAAAAAAAAAAAAAAGGCATTGCAATGGGGCTTTTCTCTCCCTATCTGCATTCCCTGGGGCATTTCCCTTCCACAGTCATGGCTGGGAAAAGAAACACAGATATAAAAAGTCATGATCATCAAATCCTTCCACAGGAGAAAGTCTCAGCCAAGGCACAGGGTCTGGAGCAATGAGAGAAGGAGCTCAAGGAGAAGATATCAATGCCCGCACGCATCTGTGGGACATAAAAAGCATAGTAGGAGACTCATACCCAAGGACAGTAGATTCATGGGCCAGGAGGACTGGCCAATGGTTGGAAACTTGCCACAGCGATGGAGAGTAGTTACAACAGAGGAGTCTACTATGACAGGGATGGTTGGAAATGATTGCCCCGGACAACAACTGAGTCATGAGAAACTTTCAGTATCTGTATTGCAAATCATAATGACCAACAGAAGAGAGTGGGGAGGGAGAGAGAGAGGGAGAGGGAGGGGGAGAGAGAAAGAGAGGAGTGAGAGAGGGAGCTAGAGGCAGAGGTAGGAGAGAGGGAGAGAGAAAGAGGGAGAGGGAGGGGGAGAAGAGGGACAGGGAGAGGGAGGGGGAGAAGAGGGACAGGGAGAGGGAGGGGGATAGAGGGAGAAAGAGGGAGAGGGAGGGAGAGGGAGAGAGAGAGGGAGGGAGAGGAAGAGAGAGAGGGAGGGAGAGAGAGAGGGAGGGAGAGGGAGGGGGAAAAGGAGGGGAGAGAGAGAGGAGAGAGAGGGAGGGAGAGGGAGGGAGAGGGAGGGGGAAAAGGAGGGGAGAGAGAGAAGGAGAGAGGGAGAAAGGGAGAGGGGGAGAGAGATAGAGAGGGATAGAAAGAGAGAGAAAGAGACAGAAAGGGAGGGAGAAGAAGAGGAAAAGTACAACAGAGGAAATGCACACTGGTGAAAGGAAGGGTATTGGAACATTGTGACACTGACACCCAATCATAAACAACTTTGTAACTTTCTCATGTTGGTGATTGAATAATAAAATAAAAATAAACCAGAAAAAAAGCATCTGCATCACACTTTGTGGTCAGCAATACAGACAGTGGCTGCTGGCCGGGAGGAATGTACGTCAAGCACTATGTCACCTTATGGCGAACAACTTTTCATCCTTTTCTTAATTAAAAGTGGCATGACTGCTTTTATTTGGGGGGTGGGGGATAAATAACACTGACAACAATAGCAAAAATACATATTTTATACCCATGGCAAAGTCTCCCCCCAAATAACGGATGACAATGTTTGTCAGTGATGGACAGGAGCAGTTGAATGAGCCAGGAACGAGCTACCTTTTCCAGTTCACTGCTAGGATTTGTTGCTCCCTTGTCTGGTCACCAACCCTTTTTGCTGAATTGTTTTTTAAGTGCTCCCAATCTTTCATCTTCTCATTTGCTGGTTTTAGGTAAAGAGATTATAACACCGTAAAAGGTGTAATAATCAACTTAATCAAGGAGGCTTGAGAACATCAGTGAGAGAGAATCTGAAATAATGTCTTCTCAGTACTTTAGAACACCCAAATAGTCTCAATTCTTCATGTTCATAATTTCCCACACTGAAGCTGCACTGTGGATTCACTGAAAATCTTCCATAGACATACTTAAATTGTCTCTTATATGTCAATATCATTTCTTTGTGAAAATACATTTCCAAGATAATAATCAGATGGTCAAAACAAAGGAATTATGATGATTACCATAAATATGTTTTACTTTAGAAAATAGTCTATAATATATCAAAAATGATTGTTTAAAGTAAAAATTGGCATCTAGTTGTTGGTTTCTGTTTTAAAATTTAATATGAACTAAAGAAAATTTAAAAAGCTATGTTGGGTCGGGGAGATGCCCCAAAGGACTGGAAGATATGATCTGTATGAAGAAACCCCGGTTCAGTTCCTGGCACAGGATGGTACCCTGAGCACAATAAGTGGAGCCCAAAGAGAACAATAAGAAAAAGGTAGGTTGACGTTAATATTAACCACATTCAATAATGTGGCCAGATGAGGAAGATATAAAGAAAGTCAGCAGATCTGGGAAGAAAAGCAACTCCAAAAGAAGTTGGAAAAAGTAAACATAGACAGTTCATGAAAGATTATTAGTCCAAAAAGTGACCTCACTCTAATATAGGACATGGAAATAGCTTAACAGAAAGACTCTACCACATGTGAGCCCTGGGTTGACCCCCCCCCCAGCACTGCACACATACATGCATAAACATACATACATATATGTGCTTATGTTTCCATAATAAAACCACACCTTGCAAGGGGGAGGTGCAGGCAGCTCCTGACAGAGCTCTGCCATTGGTCCAGGTCAGGGTGACAATCCTCTGAGGTTGAGGGACACGGGGGCTTCATGGTGATGCTTTAGGGGGTAATTTATAGGCAAAGATATGTATTTATTTATTTAATTTTTAAATTGACCTTAATACTCTCTATAAATTACATCTTAAAACTCTACCCAAGTTAATGCAAATGAGGCAATCAATGGCATACTGGAAATTGCTAATCTAGCTACTAATCATTTTTATGAGCATCGACAAACAATAAATAGACCAGACTTTTCTAAAGTGAATAAGTTAACTCTTTTATGCACAGTCTTTTTTTGTTTGTGGCTGTGCTCAGGGCTTACTCCTCATTTTATGCTCAGGGATCACTTCTGGCAGGGCTTGGCGAACCATATGGATAGCATTCAGGGGAATGAACCCAGGTCAGCTGTGTACAAGGCAAGTGCTTTCCCTGCTGTACCATCTCTCTGAATTTATCTGTCCTTCCCAGTGCTTTGAAAACTGCCAACCATATAGCATATATTTAATAGAAGAATGGATTTTATCAACTAATAACTTTTTGTGTTACAAAACAAACCATGGCAAAAATAAAAAGACCCTCTATGGAATGGGAGAAAATATTGTACACCATAGATTTCTCTGCCCCTCTCAGAGAGCCCAGCAAGCTACCGAGAGTATCTTGCCCACACGGCAAAGCCCGGCAAGCTACCCGTGATATATTTGATATGCCAAACACAGTAACAACAAGTCTCACAATGTTACTGGGCCTTCTCGAGCAAATCCATGAACAACGAAAAGGAAGACAGTGACAGTGACAGTTGTTTGTGGGGTGCATCCACTATGCTCTGTGCTCAGGATCATTCCTGGCGGGGACTGAACCCTGGTCAGCAGTGTGCAAGGCAGGCGCCTTGACTACTGTTCTGGCCCTTAGATATAAGTATTTTAAATGAGTATCAACAAAAAATTCTACTACATAAGGATTTTCACCAATAGAAAACAAAATGCAGAGCCCTGCAAATCTTAAGGAATGCCCAGAACTCAGTGGGACTGGAAAACATTGTCCCTGCGGCCTGCGCTCATGCGAGGTGACCCCTCGCACCATGTGCAGTGGTGGTGATAGCAGCCTGGGACCGTCCAGAGCATCTCCGTGAAGTCCACTTGACTGCAGCTCCTATTGCCCCTCACCTGCCTCTTTTGCAGACTGGGCTGAGGGTGTGGTCAGTAATGAATCATTTCCGAGGAACTGACTATTACTCAGGAGCTTTGCCTGCCTTCGTCCCAAGGCTAGTTGTTTATTTCTCTCAATTCTTTGTTGCTGCTCATCTGTTAGGCTTCCAACTGATTCTGAAGAAAACTTCTCACTTTCAGATGTTTTACAGGGATCCAATTCAGTAACAGTTACCGCATTGATATTATTTTCATTTTTTCCTTCTACATCAACAAATTAAATCCTGGTTTATTTCCATTTCAATCCCAATTCTGATCACTTTTAATGTAGAAATAACTTGAGGTGGTTCTGTATGGAGTCTGCATTTTCGACAGCATATGTTTAGTTTCCTAACTGCAACGAGCATGTATGGGGCCATCGCACAGGAAATCTGATGACTCTACAGACCCTGTTGGCAAGAACCATGCTTTGCTGTGTGTGACCGTAGGCAAAGATATTTAATGCATCAGTGTTTGAAAGATTAAAAGAGGAGAAGCTATTTAAATGCCCAGGAATGAGAAAATGGTTCATTAAATCACAAAGCATGCAAGCTGCCATTAAAACTGAACATTGTATAATCACATCAATTAATAAGCCAACTTGAATTGAAAAAACCAAGTTGAACAATAGAATCACAACCTATCATGTGATTCTATTAGCATATAGAAATCATAATGGCAAAAATATTTGAGTATCCATGTTAGCACATACAAATATAAATGCAAAAAGAAACCAAGAAAAGTTGGCATCAAACATGGCACAGATGTTCCTTGAGAGTAGGAAGTGGGAATAGAATTTGGGTTAAGGGTAGGGCTTGTAGAATATTTTTTGCTCTCTTAAAAATCACATATACCTCTATAGTTACAGAAACATTTTAAAATTAAGACGTCACCATTGCAACACTCTTTACAATAGCCAGAATATGGGAAAAATCTGAGTGCCCGAGGACAGATGACTGGTTAAAGAAACTTTGGTACATTTACACAACGGAGTACTATGTAGCGGTTAGAAAAGATGAAGTCATGAAATATACATACAAGTGGTACTATATGGAAAGTATCATGTTAAGCGAAATGAGTCAGAAAGAGAGGGATAGACATAGATTGCATTCATCTGGGGAACATAAAATAACAAAATAGGAGACTAACACTCAAGAATGGCTGAGATTAGTACCAGGAATTTTGCTCCATGGCTTGGAGGCCAGCCACACATGCTAGGGGAAAAGGGAGCTCAGATAGAGAAGGGAGCACCAAATAAATGGTGTTGGGAGGATCCTCCCAGGATGGGAGTAGCATGCTGAAAGTAGACTATAGACCAAAGATGATTGCCACTCAATGCCTCTTTTGCAAACCACAACACCCAAAAGGAGAGAGACAACAAAGGGGAATGCCCTGCCACAGAGGCAAAGTGGGATAGGGGTGGATGGGGTGGTGGGAGGGATACTGGGATCCGTGGTGGTGGGAAATGGGCACTGGTGGAGGGATGGGTATTTGATCATTGTATAATTGAAACCCAAGCACAAAATTTGTAAGTCTACAACTGTACCTCATGGTGTCTCACTAATAAAAATTTAAAAAAAATTAAGATGTCACCCTATGTTATTTGTGCATATGGGCTCAATGGTTGACAAAGTGTGTATGGTTTGCACTAGCTTTAGGAATGAAAAGAGCAAACCAAAAGAACCACCTATGCCCCATCCCTCATACTGCTACGTCTCCTTCCTTGGAAGTGATTCGTTCTTCATTTGATCTAATTTGGCTAACAAGTTTATTTTAAAATATCCTCAAGTGATTTCATTTTAGTCAAAAATCCACATGGTTCACATATATGGGTCTTACATTAACCTGCTAAATTAATTCAATCTTTAAAACATGGCAGAAAATAAATCATGTAGATATAGAAATCAAAGATTGTAAACCAATTTTCAATTAATCATTTATCTAAAATTATCTCAAGAATGATTAGAAAATTATCACTGTAGTGGATGAAAACTTAATTCATGACAATCTGATGAAACATTTATTAAGTCACATTATGAAAAATAAAGTTTCAAACATTCAAAACAGTGGCATGTCTCACACATGCAGGGTTTTACCATCATGAATAAAAAATAAAGACAACTTCATTTAGAGTAATTTTTATCTGAATCAGTCAAATGCACTCTTTGTATGAGTCAGATTAAATCTGAATGTTTCCACAATGGTAAAGCATGTTCCTAACTTCGCCAGATTTTTCCAGCTAGTGCTGTGAGTATCAAGTAAGCATCAGGGGAAACTATGTCCTTTCCTCATTGTTTCAGTACATGGAAAGGTGTAGTATCTGTTTCACAGTTGAGTGATGAAAGGAAATGAATCCAATGGACCATTCTGAAACAAATGGAGTATAGCCACCATTAAAATATGTGAGTCTGCATGCTCAGAAAATTTAATGAATCAAAATGGTTTTTGAAATATGCAAAGTCATAGATATTATTATATTACTATATAACCATTTTGATCTTGATAATATGTATATAGTTAAATATATATCAGTTTTCATAGGCACATGCATACTGCGGGCATACTTATGTATTCATGCATATGTGTGTACACTGTTATTGAATTTTGTGGGTTGTTAGGAGCGTGTATGTCCACACACATAATTGTAGCATTTAGTTGCTAAACTGAGAAGATTCATTTTTGGAAGTCACCTCTCAGTTTTCCAATAATGGTTTCCTAATATCCTTGGCCTTCATTATCTTTGAATCCTGGTGAGTCCCCAAGATCATTGATTCTCATACAACTCCCTTTACGCAGAACCTTCCAGGGTGATTACATGAGCACTGAGGAGGAAGCATTCTTTATTCTGCACCATCACTCACTTTGGCAGTCAGCACATGCAGACACTGAGGAATCACCCCAGAGCTTCTTGCTTGGCTTTTGTGAAATTTTGAGGTCACCCACACACTAGAAAGTGTTTTTTTTTTATCCAAGAGTAAGAGTGATCCCTGGGCTGTGTGACTCATGTGCGTAAGTCTATAGACTTTATGTTAGAGTTTTAGAAATATCTGTGAGTCAGAAGAATTGACTTTGTCAGGGAGCTTCGGAGTAAAGTTTTATAAGCATCATTTATTCTTCTCATAAGGTTGAATTATAGCATGTGAAAAAATAGGCTTTTCAGGGGAAAATGATTTTCCATGTTTATATCAACTACATTTTGGAAACCATTTACTTTAAGAGACTGCTGTTTTAGAATTATGTGGGCATTGACCGAAAGAAAATCTGCTGTTTTCTGACGTTCCTCCTGACAGCCTGCTTTATTTTTTATAATAATGGGTTGAAGTGTGCTCAGTTTTATTTATTACTTTGTGTAAGTTCTATCCATGTGAGCAGACAAGAAAATATCAAATCAAATAAATGTGATCTGGTGTTAGGTCTCATATCTCACTGAGATAAACAAATAATACATTTTGTTTTATTTGATAATACACCCTTAAAATGCAAAGTTAAGTCTGCAGCAGTGAGCATAAAATAAATTAAATCTGATATAATGTTTAGCTCTTAGATGCATTAATATAGGTTTCAGAAATAAGTGATCTTGCTGTCGACAAATGACCCCAAAAGTGCTTTGGAAAAGCATACGTAATGTAGAGAGAGCTATATGCCAGAGTAGTTGATTGGATTAAGGAAGCAAAAAAAGGAGGCAAACTCTTATGCCCAGAAAATGTACCTTGACAATTCTATTTTGATACTTCGATAACTGAGCTTACCTTTACTCTAACATGTCTATTAACTTTGTAGTAGGTAGCAAAGGATATCTTGACTCTGTTTACTGCAAGGTTGAAGGTGCTTCAGTCTCTGAGAGCAGGGAGTACAGAGGCCCTCTCTTTTCTTATCATCTCTGTCCCTGTTTCTTCTGTAACTTTCATATTCCTTTAATTATCACCTCCAGAAAGGAAAACGCCCATAACAAATCCTGTACACCATCACATTAGGAAAATGGAGAGTTCTTTACTTTAGGATTTGAGCAATAGTTCTGATCTTTTTTTGGGGGGGGTCACACCCAACGATGTTCAGGGGTTACTCCTGGCTCTATACTCAGGAATTACCCCTGGTGGTGCTTGGAGGACCATATGGGATGTCAGGGATTGAACCCAGGTCTGCTGTGTGCAAGGTAAATGCCCTACCCGCTGTAGTATCACTCCGGCCAGACTATTGAATTTTTTGACTGACCTTTGAACTGAAATAGAATACAGGGTCCGCTTTAATCTGACAGGAAAGTGCAGTACTCTCTGGGCAATAGCATGTACACATGGGAGCAGGGTGGCAGTGTATGGCAGAGTCCCAGGAAAGACCAGAGAGAAGAAGGTACATTTGTTTGTAGGGACAGAGCCAGGGAAAGGAAAGGAACGGAAATTTCTATTTTGTCTCACCAAGCATGTCAGTCAACAATGTCCTAAGTCCCAGACAATAGAACTGTGTGTTTGACATATTTGTATTTCTGATGTGAATTTCCCTCACCACTGTTCAATAGGATTCGCCTTGTCAGGTAACTACTTTAACAATCCTCTAAGAAATATACATAATTTAAAGTAACCCATCTTCTTGCATTCATCTGGGGAACATAAAGTTACAAAACAGGAGACTAACACCCAAGAGTGGCAGAGATTAGTACCAGGAATTTTGCTCCATGGCTTGGAGGCCAGCCACACATGCTAGGGGAAAAGAGAGCTCAGATAGAGAAGGGGACACCAAATAAAGGGTGTTGGGAGGATCTTCCCAGGATGGGAGAAGCATGCTGAAAGTAGACTATAGACCAAACAGGATTGCCACTCAATGCCTTTTTTGCAAACCACAACATCCAAAAGGAGAGAGAGAACAAAAGGGAATGCCCTGCCACGGAGGCAGGGTGGGATGGGGGTATGGGGGGGGGGGGGGGAAACTGGAACCCGTGGTGGTGAAAAATGGGCACTGGTGGAGGGATGGGTATTTGATGATTGTATAATTAAAGTTCAAGCACAAAAATTTGTAAGTCTACAACTGTACATCATGGTGTTTCACTAATAAAAATTAAAAATAAAACATTAAAAAAATAAAGTCACCCATCTTCTGTTCCAGCCTTATTATTATTAGGAAAAAGCTTGGTCATGGCTAATCCTCAACTTAGGTTTCCAGGCTCTTGACTTCACGGGGGGTAGTGTTTGGTTGTACCAGAGAGTGCCATTGTTTCTACTTGGGAAAGGCACACAGGTTCTGAAAGAGAAAACCCACAGAGATCTGAGTACAGGAATACTGTCAAGAGAACAGTACAATTTCAACCCAAATTTCTAGCTTGTGTAGTTACAGTACTAGAGTAAACTAGTAAGAAAATGCATAGGAGTTTAGAAGGGGGAGATTTTAATGTGATGGTTTCCACCATCAAGGTGCCCCCCAGATTCTGACATAGCAGTTGCTTCCTTCCTGGG